CCTCTGGGGGAAGAACCTTTTCCTGGGATCCAACCTGACCCTGCCCTGACACAGCTCCAGCCATTCCCTGGGTCCTTTCCCTGCTCACACAGAGCAGGGATTGGAGCTGCCCCTCTTGAAGAAGCTGCAGCCCCTGGTGAGCTCTGATTTCAGTCTCCTCCAGGTTTCCCTTGAACTTTGGAGCTCCTGCTGCACTCACTGCAGTGTCCCAGCAGCAGTGGAAGGAGCTGCAGCCCCTGGTGAGCTCTGATTTCAGTCTCCTCCAGGTTTCCCTTGAACTTTGGAGCTCCTGCTGCACTCACTGCAGTGTCCCAGCAGCAGTGGAAGGAAGAAAACATCTCAGGAGGACAAAGTGGTTCTCCAAAGACCTCACTGGGATGCCAGGTGATGGAAGGAGCCTGGACTCGTCTCTATGAAACAGCAACTGCGATCCTAACAAACAGCAGGGTGAGCTTTGAAATCCTTCACCTGAACGTGGACCAAAAGTTGGCCAAATGGAGATAAACTGGTTTTTTTCCAGTATATTTTCACAGCTGATGCCAGGGCACTTTTCTGTGCTGCCTGGGCCAGGGGTGCAGCAGACAACATCTCACTGCTGCCACACATCTGTAGCACTTTCAGCCACCACAGAAATTCCTTTCTTGGCTCACCCTGAGCAAATTTTCACTCACACATTGTCATTTTCTCCTTTGCTGCTTCCTAGGAAATCCCCCCTGTGACCCTCCATGAACGGTCACGGAGCTTCTGTGCAGCCTGGCATGAAGATTCCCCCTGATTTGTGTCTTAACAGCAACTGTGCAGCAGGAAATGCAGATGTTACAGATCCAAGAGCTCTTGTCAGGTGGCCAAGCAAAGATTTCTGATAAGCTTATGGTCTCTTTTGTGTTATTAACCATAGCCAAGATAATTAAATACTGGGGAAAAAATATATTTAGATTGCATTTTTCTTTATTCATTCTCTTTTGCTTAATTTTCAAAGAAAAAGGCCAGGATTTCCAAAGGCATCTTTGGAATCAG